ATATTATAAGAAACAAATAACAAAATTTATAGCTAGATTCTTCATTGTATCTGTTATTTTATAAGAAAAATGAATGCTGATAGGTATTTTAGGAAAAGATAGGAAACTTTGATATTAATGTATTTTAGTGATGACTGAGCAAAGGACCTATAAAGAACCATAGCATGTCTTTGTCCTCTTCTCTCTCTCCTCCTTTTCTTCTTTCCCCTCCTCCCTTCTTCTTTTCATCTTTTTTTATAAAGCTCTCTCCCTTTCTTTACTATGACCTTTATTTAATATTCCTTCTATCTTCCTTCCATGTTTTAAGGCAGCCAGTCAATTTGGCTATTGTTGGGGTGCATGCCTGTCAGGCATCCAGTTAGATGGATCAGGCAGCCAAAGAGCACAAGATATGGCTCCCACTTTGACAGACTCATTCTAAAGGGTGGAAGGAAAGTGAATGCATTTTGTTTGCTAGGGCTCCCATAGCGGAAAAAAAAAATCCAATCTAGATGGCTTAAACAACAAAAACTTACTTTCTCACAGTTCTGGAGGCTGGATGTTCAAGATTAAGGGCATTGATAGGTTTGGTTTCTCCTAAGACCTGTCTCTTTGGCTTGCTGCCTTCAAATGTATGTACATTCCTGATGCACCTCTGTGTCTAAATCTCCTTCTTTAAAAGGACACTAGTCATATTGAATTAACAATCCAACAGACTCATTTGAATTTAATTATCTCTCTAAAGGCACTAGGTTCAAATAAAGCCACATTCTGAGGTATGGGAGGTTAGGACGTCAACATATGTACTTTGGGGCACAAGTCAGCCTGAAATACCAACTTACAAAAATATAGAAAAAGAGCAAAGATGGAGTGTGCTGCAGCTCCTGAGAACATACTAGAGCAAGCAGATCACCTGGGGAGGATTCCCAGAAGAGATAGCAATGGAGTTGGGTGTTAAAGGGCAGAGAAGAGCCTGGTGAAGATGAAGAAGGCAGGAAAAGAAAGCATTCAAGCCAAAGGAGCACTATGTACAAAAACTGGGAGGTCAGAGAATTGCAGTTTTTCAGAAAAAAAAAATATATAAACCTTTCAACAGATAGGGATAACCAGGCATGGGTAGTTTCACACCTGCAGTTCCAGCTATTTGGGAGGCTATAGCAGGAGGATCTCAAGTTCAAAGCCAGCCTCAGCACCTTAGGGAGAATCTGTCTCAAAATAAAATTTTAAAATGGGCTTGGGGTATAGCTCAGTGATAGACTACTTGCTTAGCATAGGTAAGGCCGTGGGGTCTGTCCCCAGTAGCCTGGATCCTCCCCCCCCCCCCCACCAACACATGCATACAATAGTGAGAAAGCAATCAAAAGGAGATGTCTAAGAGTTGATGGGCATGCTGAGGACCCTGGACTCTATCTGGGACCCCATGATTTTATTTATGTTTCATAAAGTCCACTCTAGCTGCAATGTAATAAATGCTTTAAACGGGCTAAGGTGACCCTTTAGCAGGCTGAAGCAACCCCAAGGAAGGATGGTGGTGTTCACCAGGTCAGGGATAGGAACAGGATCAGGATGCTGAGGAGGGGGAATCACAGCACTCGGGGCACATTGCTTGGTTCTGCATCAGGAACAACCCTCAATTCCTGAGAGGAGTACTGGCTTACAACTTAAGCAAAGGAAGTTCCAGAAGAGCTTCCAAGATCAAGTAGGCAAACGGAGTAGAATTTCAAATGACCAAGATGAGGCTGTCACTGACTGTCTGGTTCCTTCCCACTAAAGAGAAATGTGGACATCTCAAAGGATGTGCCTAAGACAATTTGGGGCCTCTGAGGCTCAGTAAACTCTAGAGCAATTACCAGTTCTAACCTGCAGGTGGAAGCACTATACTCACACAAAATAAAGCCAGAAACCCTTTCAGGTGATTAAAAATGACCATAAACCTGGAGAGGAAAAAGAGAACTCTTGGTAATTATTTTGCATTCTGAGGTGACTGATGTGGCCAGTTTGCAACTAGCAAGTTTTGCTACAGTTACAACAGGTTTTCTTTTCTTTTCTTTTTTTTTTTTTTTAAGAGAGAGAGAGAATTTTTTAATATTTATTTTTTAGTTTTTAGCGGACACAACATCTTTGTATGTGGTGCTGAGGATCGAACCCAGGCAGAATGCATACCAGGGGAGTGCGCTACCACTTGAGCCACATCCCCAGCCCTACAACAGGTTTTCATACCAGGGTGTGACTTCTACTTAGTCACCCACAATTGCAACATTTTGACACAAATATTGTTACTTTTAAATGTTCACTTCCCAATCTGGTCCATATGCATATGTTTTTATGTAGGCATACTGAGTCTATTTTATAAAGGCTGCATTCAAAAAGGAAGCACACACCTCTTTTTTCCTACTTCTCTTGGGCATCTGATCTTTTTTGAGATCTCCTTCTACTTTCTTAGCTTCAAAGACGACTACTGCACAGAAAAGTATTCACGTTTTTATCTCTTTTCAGCTTGTGTTATTTATTCATCCATTTGTTAACTTCATGCTCTGTGCTGGGTCCTGAGATATATGTGAAAAGGCATAGTCATGTCTGTCCCAAAGCTTGTAGACCATCATGGCAGTGGGGGTGGACAGTTGTGGGACAGCAAGCAAATGAAGATGCAGTATGATCGGAAGTATAATAGAAATTTTGAAGAAGTCCTAATACTAATATGAAGACCTAAATATAGGGGAGAAGACCCACTAAGTAGAGGAAATTGTATGTGCAGAGATAGGGACATTCAAAAGATCTTGGCACCTTCCGGAAACCACAAGTGGTTTAGGATTGGTGGAGTTTGTGTTGGCTAGGGGCTGAGAGGATAGGGCTGGCAGGCAGGGGCTGATCTTTAAGGGCCTTAAAATGGACTTACACATTATCTTGTAGATGATAAATATCTTAGTTCCAATCAATTTTCCACTTTACAGCAACAGTGATAAAATATTCTGAAGAAGAAAATTTAACTGTGGCCCAGCCCTGTCTCAGTAGCCCATAAAATCGAGTCCCATGAGCTTCTCTGTTTCACTCACATGCTATGTTTTTCTTTCTCCTGGAACGCTTTCTTTTTCTCAGGCTAAAACTCACTTCCTCTGCTTTCCTAATCCTGGAAGAGGTATGCTCCTGCTATGTGCTCCCCAAACCCATCATATTCTCAGTACCACTCATCATATTCTCAGAGGTGTGACTTCCACTTCCAGCTGCAAACTCTGGGAAGGGCTGTCCTGTGTGCTGTAGAACAGATGCCTATAAATGTTGGGAGAATGAAGGAACACATTGAGCTTTTCAGCTGTATACTGGATATTTCCACCTGTATGGCCCCTGAAGAATTGAACTTTATATTTCCCAAACTGGGTCATCATCACCTACTCACATGGCCCCCTTCCCGTTCCTATGTCCCCCTACCTCCACTCTTTGCTACTCCTCTTTTCTTTTTATCACCTCTCTCTCCTTGTGTTATTTCATTATTTTTCAGCAGAATGCCCAACATTGAACATATTCCTTGGGGTTGCTTCAGCCTGCAATAAGACAAAAGAGGAACTAGTGCTTAAGTGAAAATGGGAGCCGCGATTCTTTTATTTTAAATAAATACTTAAAACACAACTTGACTTCTACAAGTGTCTGGCTTCTAGGTCTGCATAGCAGAGCCACCCCACCTGTGGCCCCACAATGACATCACGATCCCTGCCCCCATAATCAATATATGGAATCAGGATATCAATGGCTGAACACAATCACAATGGGCCCCTTTTATAGGGTGTTCCCTAGAACTTTATGGACAAGATCTGACCAGGAAAAAGATATTGGAATTTCTGAAGCGTCAATTTATTTATACAAACACACACACACACACACACACACACTTTTTTTTTTCAGTTGTCAATGGACCTTTATTTTATGTATATGCGATGCTGAGAATCAAACTCAGTGATTCACACATGCTAGGCAAGTGCTCTACTACTGAGCCACAACCCCAGCCCTTACGTGCCATTCCTTTTGCCTGATATGCCTTAATTTCGGTTCCTCTGTCGGTCCACCTCCTACTCATCCTCCAAGACTCAGTTCCACATTGCCTTTTCTGTGAAGACATTTCTGCGGCGAGCAGAGACCCTGTCCATCTTTTTAACTTCCTCAGCATTCCCCCAAATAGTGAGAATAGAACTATGGCATTGTTTACCTTTTTATTTCCTTGCTAATTCTCTATGCTGTGAATTGCTCGAGGGTCACGATTTCTATTTCTCGCTTTATCCTCTATATCCAGCAAAGTGCTGTCAAAGATTAGGCGCGGTATGGTCTGTGAAAGAACGCATCCTGCCAAGCGCAGGGGCCGCGCACGCTTGTGATCCCAGCTACTCAGGAAGCTGAGGCAGGAAGATAGAAAGTTCGAGACCAACCTCAGCAAACATGCGAGGTTCTGTCCCCAAATAAAATTTTAAAAGGGGCTGGAATGCAGCTCAGTCATAGAGCACCCCTGGGTTCAATTTCCCCCGCGCGCGCCACACACACAGAGAGAGACAGAACGAATCCATGAATTCATTTAACACTGCAGTTTGTATGAATCGGATTCCCAAACAATTCAAAGATCTGGTCCTCTATTTGGAGTGCGCCATGGTAGGAGATCGCTCTTCCCTCCTGTCTCACTGCCTCGGTTTGATAGTGAGGGCAGGGAAAATAATCAGAGCGTGGAAAGTGTTAGTCCTTCAGCCAAAGCTGTGTTTATCTGCTGTGGAACTGACAAGAGTTACAGCGACCTGGGGCGGAGCCACGCCGGAGCCACCTGCTGCTGGGCGGCCTGGCGCATGCGCGCAGGCACCCTGCAAATCTACCTGCGGGGGCCCGGCCGAGGAGGGGCGCTTGCGCTCTGGCCTTTTCCGCCGGAGCAAGTCTCGCGGGGGCGGGGCGGGGCGGAGTCGCGTGGGGAAGTTCTCGCGGGACCCGGACGAGCAGCGGAAGCGAGGCGGCACTGCTGCTTCGGCGACCGGGCGGCGGCGGCGACCCAGGCTGAGGCGGTGTCGGCGGCGGGAGTGGGCGCTGCGCTCGGGGAGCAGCAGCGGGGTCGGCAGCCGCGCGCAGCGCTGCTGAGGAGCGGGGTCGGCGCGGAGCGAGCAGCTGCGCCACGGTGAGTGCGGGCGGCGGCGCGGAGCGCGGCTCGCTGCCTCTTCCTCTCGGCTCGGCAGCGGGCGGACCGGGCCCACTCTGCCGAGGGCCGCTGGGGCTCAGGACGAGGAGCAGATCGCTGCGCTCTGGACCCCACGTTTCCCCCTTTCCTTCCAGGGGACGGCCCCTCCGGGTCCGGGCAAAGCCTCGAACCGCGAGGAGGCCGGGGTTCCCCAAGGAAGGCTCTTGCCCTGGTCGCGAGGGTTTGCGCAGGAGCCCGGGAGCAGCGGAGAGGAGAGGGTGCTACTTCTGTGAGTCAGGCTGACTTAGCCCGGGAGGCGGGGGATTCGGTGCAGGCTGCAGACGTGCTGATTGATGCTCCCTCGACCTGCACCGCAACACGTCACCATCTCTTGACTTCTTTGTGCCGAATTTTGTGCGGAAATCCACCGTGAGTTGCAAGGAGCCTATGGCGATGCCTTTGATGCTGGCATTTTTCTCTTTAAACGACTTGAAAAATATTTGTCAAAATAAGGAGCAGCAGGTTGGAATGCTCGAAGGGAAAGATTTCTGAGCGAGAAGGCGTTGGACGAATGCTTGTTTGCAAGGCTGTCCTTATACGTACATGATTGTAAGCCCGATGAGTTAAGGCTTGTTTGGAGAGTGTTCTAGGCTGGCTTCAGATGCTATAAAAGTGCAATTTGCACAGGAGTTGAAGTGCACTTGTGGTCTGTCTTTTGGTACTGTTGACACTCCGAAAAGAGAACACGAGAGAAATTCACTTTAGTCTATTTTGGCTTTCCTACCCCTTTTTCACGTTGTACTTCCCCCGTTATTGCCTTCCCCCTGCCTCTATCCCACTGGGGACACGAAATGCTTGCTTTTGTAACGCTAGTCATTGTCCCCCTCCCCCCCCCCTTTTTTTTCTAAGCTACTTCCCCTTCCTCCTTGCTGTCTTCTGAGGCATAATTTTTAGAAGTTTCTGACCTTTGGCGCTGCTCGTTTTCTCCCTCCTTACAAGATTCTCCTTGCATTTTCGGGGAGATATCCTCTATCCTGCTGTTATTCCTTTACTTTTTAAGCGCCCACTGTGTTCCTTCAGCTAGCCAGAAGGGTTGCTAGAGAGCTGTGCCAGACTTCGATTCTCTCCCTGGGAATTGGGATTCAGTTTATCCATAAGTAATCAATACTGCTAACCTTGTCACAAGTGTAGTTTGCTTATTTGTGTTTTAGTTATTTTTCTTCCTTCACATTAAGAACATGCTTCTGTTCCTCCTTACGTTTTCTTCCTGTCTTTTTTGTATTAGTAAGGAAGATTGAGTCAGTTTGGGGCCTTTAGGACTTCCTTTTCCAAAGGTAGTTAATGTTCAAAAATGAAAATCAACTATAGATCTATACTAAAATCAAATGAAGATAACCTGAAAATTTTAAGGGAACAAACTTATTTCACTGATTTAAACCTCTGCCCTTTGTAATAGTACAAATTTATTCTTTATCAGTTAAAATTTTTTTTTTTTAGTTATACATGGGTACAATATCTTTATTTTGTAAATTTTGCTTATTTATTTTTATGTGGTGCTCAGGATCGAATCCAGGGTCTCACACGTGTGAGAGTGGAGCTGAGCGCTCTACCACTGAGCACAACCCCAGCCCCTATCAGTTTTTTTTTTTTTTCCCTTTTTACCTTAAGGATCTTTCTCAACATGTTATAATTGGCTTTTGTTTGTTTTGTTTGGGGAATCCAACACAGGACCTCCTATGGTTGACCTACACCTTAGCCTCTGTTTTGTTGTTGTTTGGGGAGTTGAACCCAGGGAAACTCTGCCACTGAGCCACATCCTCAGCCCTATTTTGTATTATTTTAATGTTTTTTTTTTAAGATGTTGATGGACTTTTATTTTATCATTTATTTATATGTGGTGCTGAGAATTGAACCCAGGGACTTACACATGCTAGGCAAGTGCTCTACCACTGAACCACAACTCCAGCCCCCTATTTTGTATTTTAGTTAGAGATAAGGTCTCCACAGGGTCTCATGAGCTGCTTAGTGACTCATTTTTGCTGAGGCTGGCTTTGAATATGATCCTCCTGCTTCAGCCTCTGGAGCCTACTGGGATTATAGATGTGTGCACCACGCCCAGCCCCCAGTCCTTTTTTATTTTTATTTTGAGACAGGGTCTCACTAATTCTGAAGTTGGCCTCCTTGCCTCACCCTCCAATTTGCTGAAATTATAGGCATGTGCCACTGCATCTGGCCCACATTTGTTTTTGATAGAAATAAATACCTTAGGGGGCAGGGTTGTAGCTCAATGGTAGAGCACTTGCCTAGTATGAGTGAAGCACTTGGTTCAATCCCCAGCACCATATAAAAATAAACAAATAAAATAAAGGTATTGTGTCCATCAACAACTAAAAAAGAAGAGGAAACACCTTACTTGCCCCTTCCTATGTTTAAAATTTTTCTAATCCCGAGATTTTTTTAAAAAGTTAATTCTTATAATCAACTTTAAAAAATTTTTTTTTAATATTTATTTTTTAGTTTTAGGTAGACACAATATCTTTATTTTTTTTAATATTTATTTTTAGGTGTAGATGGACACAACACAATGCCTTTATTTTTATGTTGTGCTGAGGATTGAACCTGGGTCCCGCCTGTGCTAGGCGAGCGCACTACCGCTGAGCCAAAATCCCAGCCCCTATAATCAACTTTTTTGACACAAGTGCAAGCATTTAAATGCTTGGGGTGTACTTTTTCAGTTGGTTATTTTGATTTGAGAGAATTGCTGGGTTTTAAGTTCTGCTTGTTAATGGTACTTAGAAAAATTCCCCCCCAAATGGTACTTACGTTCCATGTGTTCAGCAGCAGTTGTAATTGTTACATAAAGCAAAAGAGCAATAGAGTTTGAAGAAATTGAGTAGTACAGGGTGGAGAGCCACCATGCTCTCCTGAGAAAAATTATTATTCTTTTTTTTAATGTTTTAGTTTTTAGATGGACTCAACACCTTTATTTTTTTTAATATTTATTTATTTATTTATGTATGTATGTGGTGCTGAGGATCGAACCCAGTGCCTCACACATGCTAGGCGAGCGCTCTGCCACTGAGCCCCAGTCCCTATTAGTTATTCTTAATTAAAGTGCATTTTCTGGAATGCAAATCAAAATTTTTGTTTATATCACCTTTATAGTATAGCAGTGATTTTTAAAATTTATATGCATAAACCAGGCGTGGTGATGCACACCTGTTATCCCAGATATTCAGGAGCTGAGGCAGGAGGATCACAAGTCTGAGGCCAGCCTCAGCAATTTAGTGAGACCCTGTCTCAAAATAAAAAGAGCTGGAGAGATAGCTCAGTGATAGAATGCTTGCCTACCATGAGACTCTGTGTTCAGTCTCCAACACTGGAAAAAAAATTATATGCATAAGAATCACCTGGGGATCCATCCATTCCCCCCCACCCCAGGCTTGGACCCAGGGGCGCTGCTGTATCCTGAGCCCTTGTGATCCTCCTGCCTCAGCCTCCCAAGTTGCTGGGATTATAGGCATGCACCACTGTGCCTGGCTACCTGGGGATCTTTTTAAAATTAGGTTTCAGCTGAATACCAGTAAGCAACTCATAGTGAATCAGTCTCTGAATGGAATGATTTCAATGCAGAAGGTCCAAGAACCAATACTTACAGAATGCAGTCATAAAATAATAAGACCTGGGGCCTGGAGGTGTAACTCAGTGGTAGAGTGCTTGCCTAGCATACATGAGGGTTGCTTGGGTTCAAACCCTAGTGTCACAAAAATAAATAAACTGGTGTGAGACTTAAAATGACATTTTCTCTATATTTGAAGTAAATATTTAGAATATCTTAATATAACTGACTCTAGGTGTGATTAGTGGTTGTTTCTTCCCCATACTGGGAATTGAACTCAGGGGTGCTTTGCCACTGAGCTACACCCCTGACTTTTTTATATTGTTTTTTGAATCAGGTCTTGCTAGGTTACCCTGGCTGGCCTTGAACTTTTGCTCCTCCTCCTTAGCCTCCTGAGCAGCTAAGACTACAGATAGTGCCTGGCTGTATAATCAGATTTATATGTTTAATTGTTTTTAAACTACAGTTTTGTAAAAATTTTTTTTAGTTGTCCATGGACCTTTATTTTATTTATTTATATTTGGTGCTGAGAATCCAACCCAGTGCCTCATACATGCTAGGAAAGTGCTCTACCACTGAGCCATAAACCCAACCCCTGTATGTTTAATTTATCTGTTTTTTTGTTTATTTGTTTAATGTGGTGCTGAGGATCTAACCCAGTGCCTCACCCTTGCTAAGCAAGCACTTTACCACTGAGCTACAATCCCAGCCCTATGTTTAATTTTTGATCACTCTTAGGACTGTGATATGGATTGATTTACCATTAAGTTAATTCCTTTTTTTTTTGTCTGTGTGCTGTGGATTGAATTTGGCCTTGAATGTAGAAGTGTTCTATCACTGAGCTTCCTCATCATTCCTAAGTTTATACTTAATGACCATTCATTTGCCTACCAGAAGGTCCTTCTGAGTCTACATTTGTAGAAGCAAGTTCTAGATTTACTTTTACAACATGTTGACCAGTATTTGATGGTGTTAACATCTCTTTTTGCTAGAGACTCTGCCAAGCCATTTGCAGCATGCACTTTTTTTTTAAACTTTGAGACATTTATTTACTTTTCCTCATCACCAGTCATGGTTTCTGTCATGATTCTGAATGGTCAAATTTTCTCTCTTCAGGAATTTTCACAATTTTTTAAATTGTGAAATTTCAGGTTTTACTTCAGGTTCACAATTTTTAAATTGTGAATTTTCAGGTTTCACTTAATTTTTCCCTGAAGAGAGAGACTGACATCGTGTGGAGAACTTCAATCTTTGGCCATTCACTACCTTAAGAGCTCTTGGTTTCACAGCTCCCCACCCCCAGGTTATTTCTCCAGTGTCACTCAGTTTATATGTATGTGGTAAAGTGATAGTTAATCCAGGTCTACTGCAGAGAATCTGTAAGCTTTTTGGTTTGTGTTCCAACAACAAAAGAAATACATGAAGGATAATGAGAGAGGAGGGGAAAAAAGGGAGATCATGAACTGTTTGTCAGGATGAACCCAGCTATTGTGTATAACTATATAGCTCTCAAAATAAAAAAAAGTAATACATTTTTAGTGTAAAAACAGAATATCACTGAGGTGTATTGTGCAGAAAGTAAGAATATTCTGTGATCTCATTCCTAGGTAGCTTTCTATCTTTTTAAAAATATATACGGGTAGATTATTTTGCTTTATGGAAATGGGATAAACTAATTTTTCTGCAGTTTTTTTAAACTTGATAACATACCTTCCCACTATATAGAAAGATATCCCCTAGGTAAATTCATGGATATTGATCAAGTATATGTATTTTGCACATTGTATTTTGTGCCACTATTTTAGTAAAATAAATCAGGGAAGTGGAATTGCTTAATCAGAGTATGTATTTTAAAATTGTTGTAGTACCAAATTACTCTCACCAAAAATATTGAGCTAATTAATTCTCAGCTAGAATGTGGACTCTGATAGTTTTATATATACCAAGCTAAATCTAGCAGATAGTAGTAACTTTTCAGTGTTGAATGAGTAACATATGATAGGGTAGAGAGCCTCTTTACCCAAAGTATACAAAGACCGGATATTATAAGTCTTTAAAATATATAGCTAGGTGTGGTGGCACACATCGGTAATCCCAACAACTGGGGAGGCTGAGCAGGAGGTTAAGGCCAGCTTAGACTCTCTCAAAATAAAAAGGTTTTGGGATGCTGCTCAGTGGTAGAGCATCCCTAAGTTTAAGACCCAGTACAAAAAAAAAAAAAGCTGATTCATACATGAAATTTAATTTGTTTTAATTTACATTTCCTTTTTTTTTTTTTTAGGGGGTAGTGCTGGGAATCAAACATAGGGCCTTGAGTAAGCTAGGCAAATGTTCTACCACTGAGTATATCCCCAGCACATTGCATTTCCTTTTATGTGTTTTAAAGTAACATTTTTAGCTTGTATTGAGTGGTGTTATACATTAGGCTCTGACCAAAGCACTTTGCATATGTTATCTAATTTAATGCTCAGTGAATCTTAAAGGCAGCTATTATCCCATTTTACAGATTAGAAAACGGACTTATTTAAAAGGCTTTCCTAAATTATTGCTATGATTGGCAGGGTCATTACTTAAATGAATAACAGTTAGCCTGCCTCTGGACAGACTATGCAAACTCAACATTATACTGTCCCATTGTGATATATTTTCTGTGAATTTGGGGAAGAAGAGAAATAAACAGAAGAAAGACAATAGGATACTGCATTTTAGGGAACTCCGTTTTCAGATATAGGGCACATCCTTTGAACAATTAGTTATACTTTATTTAAATTCTGTGAATGCCTGGTGTGGTGCACACCCGTAATTCCAGCTGCTTGGGAGGCTACTAGCCTGGGAAACTTTGCAAGACCCTGCCTCAGAGTAAAAAATGAAAATGTATGAGGCCCTGAGTTCAATCCCCAGTATCCAAAAAAATAAAATTCACTGAGTGTAATGATCTGTAGAGTGTGTGCTAACAGTTTAGAGATGCTCTGATCAGGCAACAGTGTTAAGTGTATTGCTACTTCATTTTCTTGGGGAGAACAGCAGCATCTGTGTGGAGGTTAGGGTTTAGCTCAGTGGTAGAGTGCATGCTTAATGTCTTGGGTTCAATTCGCATCATACCGCAAAAGGGGGAAATTTATTTAAAAAATTGTGTCTTCCTTCAGATTTGTTACTTTTAGACATTAGTGTTATGTATGGGATAGAATTCCTTTTCTTTGGATACCCTAATAAGCTGACCTTTCCAAGTTTTGCAAATGCGATGCTAAATTTTATTTGGCACAGCCTTGTAAGTATTAATTTTCTATGAACTGTTTCACAAAACAATTTACTTGAGTGATTACTTGAATAATTATGATTTTGAGGAGTGTTAGTCTTTCAAAGCTTTCACTCAGTAACCTGTGGCAGATGAATTGAGTAGGTAGGTGTTGAGAACCATCTTGTTTTTTATGTTCCTGCTATTCAGCTATGATGCAGGTAAAAGTTTATGCCCTATATTACATGGTACCTTGACAGTGACAGTGCTTTGAGTTTGTGTGGTTTCTCTTTTAAAAAATAAAACTCCTTGTTTTTTCAGATTTGTTCCATTCTTCTTCAGCTTTCCATCATTGATGCATATAGGCTCCTCAATTAGCCCTGAGGACCTGTTAAAATAAGTAGGCAATGGAAGATATACTCTGGCTTTTAAAATTATATATGGAGGGCTGGGGCTCAAGCGGTAGTGCGCTCGCCTGGCATGCTCTGAGTTCGATCCTCAGCACCACATAAAAAATAAAATAAAATAAAGATGTTGTGTCCACCGAAAACCAAAAGATAAATATTAAAAAATTCTCTCTTTAAAAAAATTATATATGGACTAATTTGATAAAAATAACTACAGAGTGTAAGTGAAGGGCATTTAGATACACAAAGATAAATCTTAGTATTTTTAAAATATTTATGTTTGCTGTAGCTTTCCTTTACTTACCTCTTTTAGAGCCAGCACCACATAGAATGTCTTAGGTATGACCTGGAAGGTAGTGGTTTGGTTTATTAGTTACCTGCAGCAGAACGTTTGGCTTTCAGAATTAGCCTGAAAGACTTTTTAACAGGTGATTTCTTTAATCCTCTCAGTCTGAGCTGAATATTTCCATCTGGTTTCCTGCTTAGTCCTTTGAAGCTATATTTGATTAATGCCCCAATGGTTAGCTTTAGGATAAAAGAATAATCTCTCCTACCCCTCACATGAGCTGCTAGATGGTAATTATCTAGCAGAAAGGTGCCACTGTAAATAATCAGTCTCCATTCTGCCAGTGCCTTTGTTATTTTCTGCTTTTGTTTAGTGTGTATGAAAACAGTGGCTGAGCAAACAAGAATGGGATTTCATTTGCCTTTAGGTATGCAAAGGTTAAGGTTGTATCCTTTTTTGTGGTGGGAGACTCTTCCACTAAAGCAGTGATTGCACTGACCCCAGTTCACCTTTGCCTGGTACACTGTGTTTAGTACTTTTCTGGCTCTGAGAAAAGCTGTGCTCAGAGTAACTGTGTGGGTCTTCAGTCTGACCTTCTGACTGTACTTTCTTTCCCCACATTAGATGCTTGGCAGCTCTTTTTTTTTTTTCAACGGGATTCCTTTTGCTTGGCATGGAGTACAAACCTGTAATCCCTGTTGAGGCAGGAGGATCACAAGTTTGAAGCCAGCCTGGGTAATTTAGGGACACCACATCATAGAGGCAGAGGGCCCCTGGGTTCAATCCCCAGTAACCACCCGCCCCATGCACCCACAAAAAGGGTTCCTTTCAATTGTAGATTAAGACTTTAGCTCTGCTGTTTAGGCTAATTAGAAGTAATGTGGAGGCTACTTCTGGAATGCTGAACCTTGGTCATCTAGTTCAAAGACTGGTGGGGACTCCACAGTTCTGGGAATCTTCAGGGGAAAGGGAGCCTTAAGCAAGGACAGATCTCCACCAACAAAGAGGGATCCGGAGTATCTTTCTCTGGTGGCCTGAGCATGCCGATCAGTTCATATGTGGTGGGGGAAGGCCACCAGAATTCTTGGTGGTAATTGGGACTAAAAAGGCATGTCTAGTTTCACTTTCTCTCTCTTTCTTGAGAGCAGATAAGAGTTAGTTTCATGAAGAGTAAAGCAGCTCGACCGCAGCATGCATGGCTTGCTTTTGGCTGTGGAGTAGGGGAGCTAGTGCTCCCAGGAAGCCTTGAAGCATTGGCAGGAAAGGAGGGAAGTAGGCCTATTTAACCAAGAAGAGTGGGGTGCTGTCCCCAGGGTGGGGTCTTTCTTTCAGTGGACAGCATTGGGTGCCAGAGAGGTATGAGGGGTGCAGGAGGAAAGGCGGAGACTGGACGGGACTCCAGCCGGTTCCTGCACGGCGCGCACACCCAGTGGGAAGGAAGAGGAAGTGTGTTCTGGAATAGCGCAAGCAGCTGCCGCCATTGGCCGCTAGGCTTGTCAGTTGCCTGGGGCTGAGGCTAAAAAGAGGAAGAAGAAGAGCAGGGCTGTTGCCTGGAAGGGAGGAGGAGGGCTGAACCTTGCAAGCCAGGGGGCGTGGGGGCTGGGACTGCAGGTCGATTGGCAGGGCGGGGCTGCCGTGGATCCTGGCCACTTCTCAATCGTTCCTCTTCTGATTCAGGGTGGCATTGTGCTTCTCAGCGTGCTGGAGTATTCCCAGACCAGAAGCGAGGCTGAGCCCAGAGGGCTGGGTTGCTTCAGCAGGGAAGACTCCCTTCCCCCCTGCTTCAGGCTGCTGAGCACTGAGCAGCGCTCAGAATGGAAGCCATCGCCAAATATGACTTCAAAGCCACTGCAGACGATGAGCTGAGCTTCAAAAGGGGGGACATCCTCAAGGTAAGTGTTGATGCCAAGCACGATGCTGAGGTTGCCTCTCCTTGTGCTCAGCTACCTTCTTTGCTGTGATTACACACAAAGAAGCTGTGCTTGTTCTTTCATGGCACACTTTTATCATATACCATTAGGTTTGATCAGGATAGCTTGCAATAGGCGCTGAGTTGAATATTAAATGTGTCTTAAGAGTTGGTGTGATGTGTGGTCTTTAACTGCCTTTGTGTGGTTACCTTGAGTAGTTCTGCTTGTTGATACTGCCAAAATTTCAAGAAAAGTATGAGTAATATGATTGTAGAAAGGAAGGACATGAGTAGATTGATTTACATTGTAGAGTTTATAAAAAAATCAGAAAATTTTTTGAACACCTAAACTTGAAGTATTTTTTGTAAAAGTATTCCATTAGTCTTATTTTACATAGCCAAAGGGTTTTAAATTTTGTAATATCTTGGTAGGTTAGAGATTGATTTTTCCCAGTTTAGAGGTTGTTAGAAGTATTTGCCAAAACTCATTAAAGAACCTAGATGTATTTTTATTCTTTATGAAAAAATCTAATGGAGTTGTATATAATAGGGTTCAACTTTCATTGTACAAGTCAGATTTCAATTTTCTTAAGAGAAAGTTGAGGAGCAGTTACCCCTTATTAAACTCTAATTGCAAAAAGAAATCTGCTGATAGTTTTGAAATAGCTTCACATTTGTAGCTTATTTTGAGTCTCACTATTTACATTGAGCATTTGCTCCTCACCTGGCACATGTTAATTATGTTGTTTACCTAATTGACTGGAGCAGTTTGCCTTTTTGGATATGCAATTTATCTTTACAGAGGTGAGTATTGTCAAAGAATGTGTTGACTTTAAATGAGAAAAGCTGAAGTTTAATGTGTGAGTGTTGACTGTGTCTCAAGTGGTGACATTCTTTCCTCTGAGCCTTAGTCTGATTGTCAGAATTTGCCAGCTTTTTGTTTTCTACCCTTGAATGAAATTCTTAGAATTTATAGAGGAAGTAAGTGAAAATGTGATTTACAGAAACAGCTGCATAGAAAGATTCATGATTTTTTTTTCTTCAGTTATGTGGGCATATTGATAGTTGCTATTTTGCTCCCAATGCCTAAGGCATGGAATTCTACTCTGTAGTTGCCTGCACAGCAGTTTTCTAATGTTAGAAATATAGGTTAATCTTTGTAGAAGGTGATATGAAAAGCCCTGAAGGGAGAAGAAAGCTTTGTTTTGACATCTAGCTCTTCAGGTGTTCTTAAAGTCCGTAGTGTTTGTCAGAACGCCTGCAGAATGAGACCTTCTTATTTTCTTAGAGAGCTGGAAGCAGAGCAAAGGCACCTTGACACATCACTCCATGTCATTGGTGTACAGAGATAATTTGATGTTTTTGTGGGTGATTACTATTTCTAGCCGATAACCCACTTATAATAAAATGAGACTGACTACTCAAGTACACACCTTAGTATCCTGTGCAAAACCCTTTTTGAAACTTTTTTAACAAATAGATTTCTCCATCAATCCACTGGAAGGCTGATAGTTTATATTTTTCTCTAAGTCTATCCCATTGCATATTTGGCACTAAATCAAATTCAAACAAAACACAGGGATTTGACGTCTTTTTGGACTATAACGTTCCCTGATTACTGTCTCTGAAGTTTGTTCTAGACCATAAGCAGTTATAAGTTCTTTACCTTAAATCTTTCCTTCCAGAAGATTTTCTTTTCTTTTTTTTTTTAAAGACAGGGTCTCAATAAATTGCTGAGAGTCTTGCTAAGTTGCTAAGGCAATTTGTGAGCCTAAGGCCTCAGCCTCCTAAGTAGTTGGTATTTCAGATGTGGCCACTGCACCTGGCCAAACTTTTATGATGGAGAAGAAAGTGATTCAGAGGGCTTACATTTACTAAAATACATATACTTGATTCTTTCCAATTTGGTAGATAACTGGGATATGAAATCATAATGCCATTATTGCTTTTGAACAGTGGCCATTAGCTGTTTCTTAATAATCTTGTGACTTTACTCAAAAACAAAAACAAAAAGTGTCCATATAGTAGTTGCCCTTTGTCTCATAATTGAAACAGCTGAGTGAAGAGGAGGGATGTGCTTTGTCATAAGTGAGGTTAGTGAAGCAACAAAACAACAGTTTTCCTCATTTGATTCTTTAAGGAGTAAACTGGCTTCATTTGACTGGCTTTGATATCATTTGAGAACTCTTTTTAGGATGTTAGGATGTTAGTTGTGAACCAAAACATGTTTCAAAGTGACTAGAACAGCATTGACCAGTTTAACTTGGATTGAAATAGGGCTATATCTGCCCTCCTTGACAAAGAAGACATGTACATATGAGTTGAATGTAGTTCATTTCAATATAATGAAATAGATGGGGGCTTTGCCCTGTACCTCTGATTAGAGTTAAAGATTACATCTTCTCACTATCTTGAAGTTCTTGGTTAACTTTTAGTTAGGAAGGACTCCTATCAACAGATTCCTTCTTTGCTTTATATATGTACATTGACCTGCTGCCCTGAGAAAAGAAAGAAATAAAAACATTTTACTGGAGGACTGGGGTTGTAGCTCAATGTCAGAGTGCTTGCCTCACACTTGTGAGGCACTGGGTTTGATTCTCAGCACCACATAAAATAAAGATATTGTGTCCATGTATAATTAAAAAATATTTTTTTAAAGTATTTTACTGGAAGCCTAAATTAGAACTGAATGCTTTAATATATCTGTGTTGTCCCTTTTATATAAGCTTGCATTTCTTGGGAAGGGAAGGGCAATGGGCCTTAAAAATGGAAGCACTTGCTCTTTTCTTGCTTCAGGCCTTGCAAGGCTGAGATGCACTTAAGTTTCCCCATTACAGTAGTGCAGGCTTGTGATAGTCTCTGAGGTTCTTTGCTGACAAGACCCCTGAGTAAGGGGCTGGGGATGTAGCTCAGTGGTAGAATGCTTGCCTAGCATTCTACAAGGCCCTGGGTTCAATCCCAAGCACCAAAACGACAACAACAAAACAAAAAACCCTGAGTAGTCTGCACTAGGTCACATGAAACTGCCTGAATTGAATTCAGAGTTACAGTTGCTGTGTAGGGGCATATGTTACCTGCTTCAAACAGTGCTGCATAGGAATCAGAAGGCCATTTTAAGCTTTCAGACTTGTGCTCATTCCAGCCTAGAGCTAGCTGCTTACTTTCTTCAGCTCTGAATGAGATCCAGCCCTGCTCTGATAATCTGTGCGCCTTCTCCTGCTGTCACTCACTACCCTTATTGGCTTCCTGAACTACTCGAGAAATAGGTCCCATGTTCACTTTGGGCTCTTTGCAGGTGCTGCTTGGCCTATTTCAGTGTCATACTTACCGAGTACCTCCTTGAGCTAGATCCTGGGAGCAGTTGCTTTGAGAGTTGGGGAAGAAATTAAGATGTCCTTTCTCCCTTCAGCAGTTCTAAATTCTTATAAGAGAAATGAGTAAGATTAATACATGAAACGGTACCAGGTAGTATATTAACTTACAGGATTTGTAGAACAGGAAAGATCTTTTAAAATCTCGTAACTTAAACTCTTTATTATTTTATAGATGAAGAAATTATGCTTCATAGAGGTTAAATGATCTGTCCAAGATCACACAACTATTAATTCTCAGTAGTGAACCTATGTTTGGTGGAATGCTGGAGTTGAGTTGCACACTAATTGCTAGAGTAATTCAGGAAAGGAAGAAATTAGTAAGAGCTGATATCAAATGAAGATGTGTGCAAGGGTTGGGATTCAAACTCTACCTTGGGAGATGAAAAATACGGGTTAAGAGAACAAGGGACATTCAGCAAGCAGGGAGTCATGTAGGGGAAGTTGCATGTTGTGATTGAGATGGAGAGGACAGAATAAGGGTCTAGATGGTGAATATTAGAAAAGAAGGTAGAATCGGAGCCAGGTAAGAAAAACCCAGTAAGAGTTTGGTTTGGTCCTTAAGAAGCCTCAGGTCTTTAGCTGTTGATGAAAGTGTCCTCTGTGCATAATGCATTGGAGAAAGGGAGGCTCAAAGCTCTGAGTCTGGAATGTTGCAGTAATAAGGGTGTGAGCTAGGAGGGGAGTGGTTCCAGAGAGGCTGAAAGAAAAAATAAAATAATGGTATTTCTGCCTGTCATCTAGTGACATTTGCACAAGTCTCCTGTGTAACTGAATAAAGAATGACCATTTAAGCCAAATGTGGCTGTGCATGCCTGTAATCCCAGCTCTTTGGGAGGCTGAGGCAGAAGGTCAAAACGAGCCTCAACAACTTAACGAGACCCTGTCTCAAAATTAAAAAGAGGACTGGAAAAAATAAATAAATGAAATAATAATAATAAAAGGACTGGGATGTGGCCTAGTGGTTAAATGCCCCTGGGTGCAAACCCTAGTACTACCTAAAAAAGGGGGGTGGGGTGGGGTAAAAAGAATGACCATTGATTATAATCCTTGAAAAACCAAACCCTGGTTTGGTTGGTCACAGTTTTCATCATGGCTCTAAGTCCTGAATTCCAGCGTACAAGTCTCATTTTGGGTATTTGAATTATCCAATCTAAAGAAATAAGAGGTAGAGCTGGGCACAATGGCACAGGCCTATAATTTCAAGGACTCAGGAGGTTGAGGCAGGAGGATCACAAGTTCTAGGCCAGCTTCAACAACTTAGTGAGATCCTTCTCAAAAAATAAAAAGGGCTGGGGATATGGCTCAGTGGTAAAAGTGCCTCTGGGTTCAATCTCCAGTATCAAAAAGAAAGAAAAAAGAGCAGAGGTGTTTTTAAGAATGAATACAGCTAGGCCCCGTGTCTCACGCCTGTAAACCCAGCAGCTCAGGAGGCTGAGGCAGGAGGATTGCAATTTCAAAGCCAGCCTCAGCAACTCAGCAAGGTAGGTGCTAAGCAATTCAGTGAGACCCTATCACCAAATAAAATACAAAATAGGGCTGGGGATGTGGCTCAATGGTTCAGTGCCTCTGAGTTCAATCCCCAGTACCAAAAAAAAAAAAAGAACGAATA